GAAAAGCTTGGCCTAGAACACGGCTGACACGCCTGACAGTCCTTGCTGCCACTGCCTGTCTTCCCCTTCTCGCACGAGTTGATGCCAGCGTTGTAGCTAAGATATTGGGCTCCAGCTACGCCCCCCACTTCTCGCACGAAACTTGCCCAGAGCTCTCGACTAAATTTGGCCCCAGCTTCACCCCCCGCTTCCCGCAAGAGGCTTCTCACAGAGCTCCCGCCGATACTGGGCTCTAACTTCGCCCCCCACTTCTCGCAAGAGGTTGGCCCTGAGCTCTCGACACTAGTGGGCTCCAGCTTCGCCCCCCGCTTCTCGCAAGAGGCTTGCCGCAGAGTGCCCGACAATATCGGGCTCCAGCTTCGCCCCCCGCTTCTCGCAAGGTGCTTCCACTGACTCCCAGCCCTTCCGCACACGAGCTGATCCCAGCGCTGTAACTGAAGATGTCCGCTCCTGCACTTGACATTTTCTCGCAATGCCAGATCCTGCTGCCACTGCATGCCCTTCTCGCATTGCCAGCTCCTGTGCCACTGCTTGCCTTCGCACCCGAGCTGATCCCAGCTTGGTAGCTGATGACGTTACTCGTGCACTGCTCGCCTTCCTTACATGTCTTCACCTTGCCCTGATCCCAACGCTGTGGCTGATGGCATCGGGCTCGTCCTTGAACGGCCTCCCTCCTCACCGCCGGCTTCCAACGTCGCGTCGGATGTAGCTGACGGCATCGGGCTCGTCCTTCACCTGGACAGTGCCAGCGCCTGCTGCCACTGCCTGCCTTCTTGCTCGCACGGGCTGCTCCCAGCGTTGTTGCTGATCGTGGCCCACCCGCACTTTTCTCGCAGCGCCAGCGTCGGCTGCCACTGCTTGCCCCCTTTCTCCCACGGGCTGCTCCCAGCGGTCCTGCTGATCGTGGCCCACCCGCAGTTTCTTCGCAGCGCCAGCGCCAACTGCCACTGCTTGCCGTCTCGCACGGCCTGATCCCTACACTGTAGCTGATCAAGCCCATGCTTTGCCTGCACTTCCGCCGCGGCGCTCGGATTGCCGGCGCTGCAGCTCGCCAGACTGACGAGGGGAAGGGGAAGGAGGAGCAAGAGGACGACGAGGGAAAGGAAGGGAGGGCGGAGGGAGCCCAGTCTCCTGGCGGGTGCGCACGCGCCTGATCTCAGCATTGTGGCTGATGACGTGGGGCGCCACGCCTCTCGATGTCGGCTCTCGCGAGCAGTGCCACTTCGAAGTTGGCCCGCGAAACACCCTTGCGCGCCCCGTGCAGGGGGGGCCGCTCGGGCGCGAAATGGCTGAGGAGGAGGAGGAGGAGGAGGAGGAGGAGGAGGACGACGAGGAGGAGGAGGAGGAGGAGGAGGAGGGAGGGGGCAGCGGGAGGAGGAGAAGGAGTGAACGCGGGGACTGTCTCTTCAAAACGAGGACCCAACACCACAGGATGGCTAGGAATTACTCATTTGTGCGCCTGGGGGCCTTCCGGGGAGGTCTCTTGGAGGATGCTTGGGGCGTCTTGCAGGCTTCTTGGGCCGTCTGGAGGCCATCTTGGGGTCTTGGACTGGTCGTTCGGTGACTCGAAGCCCTCTTAAACCGTCTTGGGGGCCTCTTTGGGCTCTCTTTGCGCGCTCTGGGTGGCCTGAGAGGCTGCACCCAGGAAGAAAACCATCTCCGACTAAAGGTCCGCTGGGGATCAGCAGGGGTACTTTTGATCCGGGGACCTCCAGGGGCGGCCCCGCGCGCGCGAACTAGAAAACTTCTAAACCAGTTACCAGAGATCTTAGCACGCCTCTGGCCCGTTGGGCTGGCGAATTGGTGTGACGCAGCCTCCTTCCTTCTTCTACATTCCAGCTCACCCATGATCAGACTCACACGCATGTTCCGTTCCGCTCACACTCAGACACTTCACCCGATCACCCCTGGACTCGCTCAAATCCACGCACTGATACAAACTCACACTCATATTCACCCATTACACTCAGACTCGCTCACACTCAGATGCACTCACACTGAGACTCACCAACACTCGGACTCACTGACACTCAGACTCACTGACACTCAGACTCACGCAGACTCACACAGTGTCCGGATTTTCATGCTCACTGACACTCAGATTCAATGACACGCAGACTCACTGATCTTGAGACTCACTGACACTCAGGTTCACTGAGCTTTGAACCACCGCTACAAAGCAGGCGTGGCACTATGGCACCCCAAGGAGGAGCCACCAGGGGGGATATTTCGGGCCCGTTCGCGCTTGGGGTGGTGGGAAGTCTCAGGCGGCTTGCTGGTTTCGGCGCTCCCGACTCCTCGCTTTTTTGAAAGCCCGTTGATCACCGAGCTTCAACCGGGATTGCACTGCGGCACCCCGAGGAGGGGCTGCCAGGGGGTGTTGCACGGGCCTTTTCGTGGCCAGAGTGTGAGGAGGTCTCAGGAGGTTTGCTCGTTTGGTGGGCTGGACCCTGTTCTGACAGCCTTATGATCATCGCGACATCGGCCGGCGTAGCATTTGGGCACCCCAAGGGGGAGCCGCCAGGGAGGGGACATTTGCCCGCTCGCGCCCAGAGTGGATGTATTGTCGGGAGGTCTCGAGCGGTTCGCTCGTTTGGCGCCCCCGACTCCTCATTTTTGAGATCCGCATGGTCACCGCGGTAGCAGGCAGAGCACGTGGGCACTCCAAGGAGGGACCGCCAAGGGCTTGATCACCGCGATATAGCAGGCATAGCCCTTGTGCACCCCAAGGGGGAGTCACCAGGGGTGCTACACTTGCCAGTTCGCGCCCAGATCGTGGACTCCGAACCCTCTCCATCCAGAGTCCCAACATCATCCCGATGCAAACATGTATAGGGGTGCTACACTTGCCAGTGCGCGCCCAGATCGTGGACTCCGAACCCTCTCCATCCAGAGTCCCAACATCATCCCGATGCAAACATGTATAGCATTTGGGCCCTCCAAGGGGTAGCCGCCAGGGAGCGCTCAGTCGCCGCAAGTTAAGGTTCCTTTACTCAGACGCTCACAGGCGGAAGTGCCAGGAACTGAGATGCACATATGGGGATCACCGCGTCGAGTAATTCTTAGTGTGATGCCTCGAGCTCCTCACTCCTCGTATTCAGGCATCTGGTCACACTCATGCTCACCCTCGCTCCCGCCTCCTTCTTCCGCGGACTCAGACATCCACTTACACTCATACTCATACTGATTTATTTTCAGAATCACTCACACTCACACTCAGGCGCACTCTCACGCAGACCCACTCACACATAGACCACTCACACTCATGCGCACACATACTCAGCTTAGTCCTCATACTCGGACTCGCTCATACTGAGAGTCACTGCCACTCAGATGAACTCAAATTCGACGAAGTAGGTGTGGCATTACTCACACTCATACTCATCCACACTCGTATTCACTCACGCCCAGTCTAATTCACACCCGACGTACCAGGCGTGGCACTCGGACACGTCAGGGAGGAGACACCGGCGGGTATATCACGGGCCCATTCGCGCCCAGATTGTCGGGATGTCTCAGGCAGTTTGCCTGGTTCATCGCCTCCGACTCCTCTTCATTGAAAGCCCCATGATCTCCGCGACATAGCAGGTCTGGCACTCGGGTGCCCCAAGGAGGAGCCGCTAGGAAGTGTATCACGGGCCCATTCGCGAGCATCCAGGGATGAGACGGCCTTCCGGGCCTCTTCCCGGACACGGTGACTCCTAGGTCTGAGCGAATTCGGCGGCGGCCGAGTCCCCGTCGGGGCCATCGCGCAAGACATCCTCGCAACCGATCAGGTCGGCGGCATCATCGCTCAAGAGCCCTGGGAATACGGGGTTGCAACTCAACACTAGCTGGGTCGGGCTGAACCCTCCCCTGTGGAAGGTGCGGTTCTTCGCCGCGACGCAGTGGCAGAGGATCTCCTCGGCCTCAGCTGGAGTAGAGGGGTCAAGAGCGAGAGCGGTCTTAGACATGGCGTCCTTCAACATAACCCCGTGTCCTTCACATCTCCCATTCCAGTGGGGGGAGTTGGCGGGAACCACTTGATGGACGCCCAAACATCGGGAAGTCCGGAGGGGTGAATCAGCGGCGCGCCCTCATCAATCAGTTCTTCCCCGTCGCAGGGAGACCAATCGCCTCTTGTGGCCCTCTTGGGGCGCTTGGGACGCTTGTGGGCGCTCTTAGTGCCGTCTTGCAGCCTTGATGGGCCCGTCGTGGGGCTCTCTTGGGCGATCTTTACGCAATCTTACGGCTTCAAACGCCCATTGCAAACGAAAAGGCTAGAAGGCCAGAACCTGTAGGCTGTTGAATGACGATGGCCTCGCGTGAGTGGTTTTGAGAAGCTTCGAGGCCACTTGGAGCCGTCTTGTGGCGGTTGTATGGCATCTTGGAGGCGTGGAGTTGCCCACCAGCCTCTTCTCATGTCTGTCCATCCTTCTTGGGCCTGCTCTGTCCTTCGCACTCTGCCGGGCGCACGTCATAGCGAATCCTGACTCCAGATGGGCGCAAGGCTTACATATTTTGTCATACGGATTATCTCGATCGCCAATGCCATTATACCACCTGGCCGCAGTTGTTCCGGGTTCTCTCTTCTGACCTTTGGCATGACCTCGCCCTTCTGTGTTCTCTCGCACGCTGGGGTGTGCTTACACAAACGTAGTCGATGAGGTCGCCATCGCATTTTCAGCCTATCACACGCTTCGCGTGTTGCCCAGGCCCATCTTGCCAAATGATATATGTTCGGCAGTGCAGTTTTTTGGTGCTCGTCGATTCACCCTGCTCAGTCCCTTGGGCACCTCGCTCGTCTGCTACGCTCTTCTCCTGCTCCTCCACTTGTTGGAGAGGGGGGAGGGTGGGGGAGGAGGAGGAGGAGGAGGAAGAGGAGGAGGAGGCTGAGGCGGAGGAGGAGGCTGGAGGAGGAGGAGGAGGAGGAGAAGAAGAAGAAGAAGGATGGGAGAACCAGCGTCAGCGTCGGAGCCTGAGTCGAACCCGGCGTCGACGACGACGACGAAACGACGACGATGACGACGACGACGACGACGACGACGACGGGGGATCTGGGATTTCTTTTCGCCGCCCAGGTGGCCCGCCGTGCGTCTGGCAAGTTGGCGACACTCACCACGCCGCCGCGGTCCCTCGGCCGGGGGAGTATGGAGGACGAGCAGCAGGAGGAGAAGGAGGAGGAGGAGGAGGAGGAGGAGAAGGAGGAGGAGGAGGAGGAGGGGGGCGAGGAGGAGAAGGAGGTGGAGGAGGAGGAGGAAGATGAGGAGGAGCACGAGGAGGAGGAGGAGCACGAGGAGGAGGAGGAGAGGAGGAGAAGAGCAGGAGGAGGAGGAGGAGAGGAGGAGGAGGCATTTGTTTTACCCTGCGGCAGGACGAGAAGAGGAGGAGGAGGAGGAGGAGGAGGAGGAGGAGGAGCAGGAGCAGGAGGAGAGGAGGAGGAGGAGGAGGAGGAGAGGAGGAGGAGGAGGAGAGGAGGAGGAGGAGGGGAGGAGGAGGGAGGGAGGAGGGAGGGAGGGAGGAGGGAGGAGGGAGGGAGGAGGAGGAGGAGGAGGAGGAGGAGGAGGTAGGTGGTTTGGGCTCCCCTGGAGCCCCGCTGGGGGCCGACGGGGGCTGCCGACGCAGCCCGGGACTCGGGGTGCGGGGGGGGTGGGGATCGTTGACGCTGTCGCCGTGGGTGTCCTCCCTTTCCCCCCCTTTCTCATCCCCTCTTCCACTTGTGTTCCCCTTGTCTCTCCTGAAAGATATCAGGAGAGGAGGATGACGTCACTGAAGTCGTCGCTGTCGTCGTCATTGCCGCGCCTGTCGTCTACTCGGACTCGCTCTCACACCCGGATGCCCATAGAGAGACCTCATCAGCGAAATGTTACAGGAGTATGGATGCACATTTGGGGGTATCTGCGTCGAGTAACAATATTATGATGTTGTTTCCATCCGATTTGTTGGTTGTCAAAATGGTGCTCCCCTGCAGCGTGGGCCTCATCTTCGGATCGGCGCTATGCTCCCGTTGTTCAGAAGAGCACTTCCGCCCCAGCGTGGGCCACCTCGCTGGGTCCCACAGGCCTCGCATCTGCAACAGGTCTTCCAGGTCTCGCAGGCCCCCAAGGCCACAGGACCCACAGGTGTCGCAGGCCGTCTCACAGGTACAACAGGTCTGACAGGTTCCACAGGTCCCGCAGGTACCACAGGTGTCGCAGGTCCCCGATGGCCCACAGGCCCCACAGGTCCCAGAGGTGTCGCATGTTTCACAGGTCGCACAAAGGGCCCACAAGTCCCACCTGTGCCACAGGTCCCGCAGATCTCGCAGGTTCCACAGTTCCCACAGCCCCCACGGTTTCCATAGGTCTTACAGGTCCCACAGGTCCCACAGGCCCCACAGGCCAACGAGGTCCCCCAGGTCGCACAGGTCTCACAAGTTTCCCTTTTCCGATTGCGCATGGCACGATGGGGTCTTCTGCGGAGTTCCAGGTCGGCTATGACACGCGTCCGCGGATGGAGAAAAATTAGCGCAATGGGATGGGAGTGGAGGGAGGGATAGGATGTCAGACATGATGTAAGCGCACCTAGCTTGGCTCCTCCCCCTCTCTCTTCCTCTCCCTTTCGGAGCCGGGATCAGAGAGACAGCATCCTTAGTCGGAAAGACCAGACCAAGGTCTTGGAGTATGATGAAAAGATTGGAGCCGCAGTCGGAATGGGGAGCCAGATTCGGAGAAGCGGAAGCTGGAGTTGGAAAGTCGAGAAAGGGGTTTAGAGTTTAGACGCGTAGAGACGGCAGCCGGAGTCGGAAAGATGAGAACGGCAGCAGGAGTCGGAAGGATTGGATTCCAGCTTCAGCACCTATCTCTCTGGCTCCGGCTCCTCTCTTTTCGGCTCCGGCACCCGTTCTTCTTTCTCCGATTCCGTCTCCCATCCCTCCGACTCCGGCTCCCAATTCTGCGACTCGGCAGCCGTTTTCGTCCCTCCGATTCCTGCTCCCGACTCCATCTCTCCGACTGTGGCCCCAATATACTTCCGACTCCGACTCCAGCTGCCGTTCTCGTGTCTCCGACTCTTGGTTCCGACTCCGGCTCCCATCTCTGCGACCCCCGCTCCTATTCCGCCGATTCCAGTGAGCAGCTTGACTGCGACCGGCATTACCAGTCTGACGTCCGCGAGTGGGACGGTAAGTATTTCGAGCCCACGGACTTGAACGAGCATGACATCGCCGTCGATGAGCAGCACAACGGATATCAGCAGAAAGATCTTGAGCAGCAGCACGGGGGTGACATCCACGGGAGCGTCGAGCAGTGAGCCATGCACCGTGCCCATCACGTAATAGGATTGATTGGTTCTAGTCATCTTCTTCGCTCTCCCCTCGTCTATCTGTTTTTGAGAGCTGTTGTTTAACAAATTTATGGATTGGGGACCCATCACGCTCAAGTGCCAGAGCCCTGCACTGCCGCCTGCGACCAACCCCAGCCGATGCGATGAGCTTGCCCTCTCGCTGCCCTGGAGCTGTCCGAGCGTGAAGCGGCATCGCCTCGCTACACATCTGCATGTTATTATATTGACTTGTCTAGCCAACTTTGCACTATTATTTAGCTGTTTTTGTCCTCCCCTCCTCCCTTCTCTTTGCTGTGCTCGTTTGGGGCCATGGTGCGCGCGCCGCTTTCATTGGCCTCCGCACCCACGAACTCTCGCCCCTATTGTCTTTTAGCTCGCCCAGGGCGCTCGGATTTTTTTGTTTCTGTGTGGCCAGTCTCGCGCAGTCCGTTCTCCGCTGCTGCTATGCTCTTTCTGCTTCCTCGTCCTCGCTTTCTTTCCCCCCCGCTCTGTCTCCTGTGCCCCTGCCTTCTTGGCTTTGTATGTCTCCGCTGCTTCCTGCTTGCCGTCCGCTGTCCTCTCCGTTGTTTCTCTGTCCTCCAGTTGTATCTGCGCTCTCGGCGACGTTTCTTGTGACGCTCCTGGCTTGCCCAGCAGCATTCGGTCTCACGTCGTGGAGCGTGGAGCCAGTTGTGCGTCGGTTTTGTTTGAACATTCCTCCCTCTCTCTTCCTCTGCATCCTCCTACTCCTACTCCTACTCCCGTTCCATTCACCGCCGCTCCCCTCCCACCCCCTTCCTCTGCACTCCCACTTCCATCTCCTCCTCTCCTTCCCTCCCCCTCTCCCCGCACCTCACTTCCCTCCATTCCCGCCCCTGCGTGACCCGCCCCCCTCGCACCGCCTCCTCCCCTCGCGCTCCCGCTCCTGCCTCCCTTCCGTCCCATCCCATCCCCGCGTGCCCGCGGCCGCTTCGGCGCGGGCAGGTCTCCGGCCTCCACGTGTGCCAGCGCGAGCGAGGCCAGCGCGGGATGGCAGGTTGACCAGTCGGAAGGATGGCAGGAGATGGAGGAGGAGGAGGAGGAAGAGGAGGAGGAGGAGGAGGAGGGGGAGGAGGGGGAGGAGGAGGAGGAGGGGGAGGAGAGCGAGGAGGAAGAGGAAGTTGTGGAGGACGTGAATGATAGGGGATCAGAGTTGGATGACAGTGGATGCAGGGGAAGGAGGAGGTGGAGCGACGCACGACCCGTGCTGTGCCGCTGCGCATCGTGTTCGGGGCGCCTGCGCAGGACGAGAGGTGAAGTGGCCCACGAGTATTCCCGTCCTCCTCGAGGGCCCCTGAGTATCTGTGAGGCCCTCACCACGTGAATTATGGACTGGCCTCTATGCCTCGTCTATCGTTACTCAACATGAACACGACTCTCCTCTCTCCCCCGACTACGTCCTGAAAATACCCACTCCCCGTATATGCTTCTTATACAGGGTTCCAACTGTTGTTTTTGTTACAGATGCTTTGTTCTGCATCGGAGCGTTTTCGGTGTTTCAAAACGGTGCTCCCGCTCCAGTTGGCCTCATTTCAGGGTCGGCGCTTTGCTTCCGTCGTTCAGACTGGCGCTGTCGCCGTCGTCGGCGGCGTCGTTGTCGTCGTCGCCCCCTTCCTTTCCCCTTCCCCGTCTTCCCGTGGTACTCCTGCTCCTCCCGCTCCTCCTGCTCATGCCTGATGCCGCTGTTCCTCCTCGCCCTCCTCCATCATCTTCCTCCTCGTCCTCCTACTCACCCTCCTGCTTATCCGCCACCTATTCCTCCAATGTGCACAGCTCCCTCGTCGGATTGCGCATAACACGATGGGGTCCTTTTGAGAGTCCAGGTCTGCTAGGAGCCTCTCGGCGGATGCTCAGACTATCAGCGCAATGGGAGGGGATGGGTTGGAGGGCTCGTGTGTCAGATATGGCGCGAGCTGTTAGGTGTGCCAGTTCCCCACCCCCCCCAGGACCCCAAATTCGGGAGTTTTTATGTGGTTGTTTTCTGTTCTCTTTCTGAGTCTTTCCAACGTCGCTCCGTGTTCTAATGTTTTTCAGTTGGTTTCCCTATGTTTTTCGGAAGGTCCCCGGGTCCCCCAAGGACCCCCTAAAACTCCCACCCCAGAACAACAAAACACTCGGGCGTTTGTCGCATGCTTGTTCTAATGTGTTTTTGTTGCTTTCATTTTGTGCACCAGCCGTATTATTGTTTTTGATTCTGGGGCCCCAGGCTCCGGGGGGGAAAACCACAAACGAATACAACTCTATGTTTTGTGTGTTCTGTTTGCGATCTTTCGGGGGATCTCTGGCCACCCTAGGGACGTTTCTGTTATTGTTATACTGCTTTTCTGTATTTGTCTTTGCTGTAATACTGCTTTTGGTTATGGGCCAGTGGGAACCTGCCAGAAGAAAAAACAAAAAAAAAAACAACAAAAAAAAAAAAAAAGCTCCCGCCCCCCTGGCCCCCCCCATGCTCCGGGTTTTTTCCATGGCTTACCGGAAAGAGCGAGGTACGAGTGATGACGTTGTGTTTGGGCGAAGCCGCTAAGGGGGAGTGCAGAGGGGGAGGTAGGGGGAGGGAATGAGTGTTAATGGCCGTTTTCGGGTTTCCCCTCGGGTTATTGTATGTTTTTCGGGTTCTCCCCTTTTCCGTCCCAGAAGAGCCCAAGACCGCCCAAGACAGCCCCAAGACGTCCCAAGAGGCCTCCAAGAGGCGCCCAAGAGGCGCCCAAGAGGCGTCCCAAGAGGGCCCCAAGAGGCCCAAAGCATAGATTTTCCTAAGTAAAACGTGCATTTTTCCCCACATCCTAGGTGGGGTTCTTGTTTTCTCTGCACACCCTCCGCGCAGGATCTCTCCTCCTCCTCCTCCTCCCTCTCCTCTGCTCCTCTTTGCTTCCTCCTCCGCATCATCATCACCATCACCATCACTCCCCACTCATCATCATCATCATCATCATCATCAGCATCACCATCACCATCGCACGATCACTCACCATCATCGGCATCGAACGATCATCATCATCATCATCATCATCATCATCATCATCATCATCATCATCATCATCATCATCATCATCATCATCTCGCTGACTTGAGGCCTGAATATGGAGGAAGTATCAGGCGGGAGCCTCGTCTGTGAGTGAATTGTGAGGAAGTCTCAGGCGGGAGCCCCCTCCCTATGGGGCCCGCACTTCATGTTCGAATCCGAGCGGGTCATCCGTAACGTGCAACTGTCGTCACTTTTGGGCTCTTGAGACCTGAATATGGAGGAAGTATCAAGCGGGAGCCTCGTCTGTGAGTGAATTGTGAGGAAGTCTCAGGCGGGAGCCCCCTCCCTATGTGGCCCGCGCTTCATGTTCGAATCCGAGCGGGTCATCAGCAACGTGTAACTGTCGTCACTTTCGGGCTCTTGAGGTCTGAATATGGAGGAAGTATCAGGCGGGAGCCTCGTCTGTGAGTGAATCGCGAGGAAGTCTCAGGCGGGAGCCCCCTCCCTATGGGGCCCGCGCTTCATGTTCGAATCCGAGCGGGTCATCCGCAACGTGCAACTGTCGTCTTGAGACCTGGATATGGAGGAAGTATCAAGCGGGAGCCTCGTCTGTGAGTGAATTGTGAGGAAGTCTCAAGCGGGAGCCCCCTCCCTATGGGGCCCGCACTTCATGTTAGAATCCGAGCGGGTCATCCGCAACGTGCAACTGTCGTCACTTTTGGGCTTTTGAGATTTGAATATGGAGGAAGTCTCGAGCGGGAGCTTCGTCTGTGAGTGAATCGCGAGGAAGTCTCAGGCGGGAGCCCCCTCCCTATGGGGCCCGCACTTCATGTTCGAATCCGAGCGTGTCATCAGCAACGTGTAACTGTCGTCACTCTTGGGCTCTTGAGGCCTGAATATGGAGGAAGTATCAGGCGGGAGCCTCGTCTGTGAGTGATTAGTGAGGAAGTCTCAGGCGGGAGCCCCCTCCCTATGGGGCCCGCGCTTCATGTTCGAATCCGAGCGGGTCATCCGCAACGTGCAGTTGTCGTCACTTTTGGGCTCTTGAGACCTGAATATGGAGGAAGTCTCGAGCGGGAGCCTCGTCTGTGAGTGAATTGCGATGAAGTCTCAGGCGGGAGCCCCCTCCCTATGGGGCCCGCACTTCATGTTCGAATCCGAGCGGGTCATCCGCAACGTGTAACTGTCGTCGCTCTTGGGCTCTTGAGGCCTGAATATGGAGGAAGTATCAGGCGGGAGCATCGTCTGTGAGTGAATTGCGAGGAAGTCTCAGGCGGGAGCCCCCTCCCTATGGGGCCCGCACTTCCTGTTCGAATCCGAGCGGGCCATCCGCAACGTGCAACTGTCGTCACTTTTGGGCTCTTGAGACCTGAATATTGAGGAAGTCTCGAGCGGGAGCCTCGTCTGTGAGTGAATTGCGATGAAGTCTCAGGCGGGAGCCCCCTCCCTATGGGGCCCGCACTTCATGTTAGAATCCGAGCGGGTCATCCGCAACGTGCAACTGTCGTCACTTTTGGGCTCTTGAGACTTGAATATGGAGGAAGTCTCGAGCGGGAGCCTACGGCCCAGCCCGAAGGTTTGTCCCGACGGCTTCGCGATCTAGCCGTCGGCAGACGCGCGCGCGCTGGCCGAGGCGGCGACGGCGCTGAGGAAAATTGATTTGCTTGCCCCGACGAGGGGGAAGGGGAGGTGCACATGGAGAAAAGGCAGGGGGATGAGGAGGGAAGGGGCATGGGGGAGGCCGACGACGAGGAGGAGGTGGCGCGAGAGGAGGAGGAGGAGGAGGAGGAGGAGGAGGAGGAGGAGGAGGAGGAGGAGGAGGAGGAGGAGGAGGAGGAGGAGAAAGAGGAGGAGAAAGAGGAGGAGAAAGAGGAGGAGAAAGAGGAGGAGGAGGAAGAGAAATAGAAGGGGGAAGAGAGGGCAGTGCAGGGGGCGAGAGGAGCGGGTGTCCGCCAGGGGGAGGAGGAAAGGGCAAAGGGTAAGATAAACAGATTCTCATGTGGGGTCCTACCGTCGGAGTAATTAGCATATGTGTTTGTTCGGCTTTCACGGCGTTGACGACGGCCCGAGAGGCCCCCAAGACCGCCCCAAGGCGGCCCAAGAGGCTCCCAAGAGGCCTCCAAAACGGCCCGAGAGGGCCCCAAGACGGCCCCAGAGGCGCCCAAGACGGCCAAAGAGGGCCCCGAGACGGCCCCAAGAGCGGGACCACGAACCGAAAAGTCTAGCGTTTCGTCCCAAGACTCCCCCAAGAGGCCCCAAGAGCCCCCCAAGAAGCCCCAAGAGGCCCCCAAGAGGTGTCCCAAGAGGCCACCAGGAGGCCAAAATCATTGATTTCCAATGGGAAAATGTACATTTTTAGCATACGCTGCTTTTCGGCTTTCACGGCGTTGAAGACGGTCCAAGAGGCACCCAAGACCGCCCCAAGGCGGCCCAAGAGGCTCCCAAGAGGCCCCAAAAACAGCCCGAGAGGGCCCCAAGACGGCCCAAGAGGCGCCCAAGACGGCCAAAGAGGGCCCCAAGACGGCCCCAACAGGGAAAACCACGAACCGACAAGTCTAGCCTTTCGCCCCAAGAAGCTCCCAGGAGGCCCCAAGAGACCCCCCAAGAAGCCCCAAGAGGCCCCCAAAGGGGCTCGAAAAGGGCCGCAATAGGACTCCCAAGAAGGCCCAGAGAAGCCAAATAAAAAGCGATCGGTAACGCAAAAAGCTCTTCACACCAAGGCTCCCAAGAGCGAACGGTGACGTAGACAAGCTGATAAGTCCAAGGCTCCCAGCAGGGATCGGTGACGCAACAAGTTCCTGACACCAAGGCCCAGCCAAGGCTCAGGAACGGGCGGCAACGCAACAATCTTTGAACACCAAGGCTCCCACGAGCGCGGGGTGACGTAACAAGCTCTCAACGCCAAGGCTCCCAGTACGAACGGTGGTGTGAATAATTTCGGTCAAGATTCTGAAGCGCTCTTTCCGTTTCTGTGCCAGGCCCAGGTCCCGTGGGCTCTTTGGCCACCCCAGAAAACTCCGAACACCCCCCCCATTGTTTTTTACATGTTTTCTATGTTTTGCGGGGGTTCCCCAAGAAAACCATCCGGGATTATTGTTTCTTGGGTTTGGCTGGGATTCCCCCAGCCCCCCCAGGATGTGACCCCCCCCTCGAGCTCTTTTGTCTACGTTTGTCGGTGGTTCTCCGGCCAGCCCAGGAACCCCCATCCAAAAACCGTCCATTCGGTCTTGTTGTTTTTCTTATGTTGTTCTTCGGTTGTCGGATGTCCGCCAGCTCCCCCAGGATCCTTCCAAGAAGCCCTCCAGAGGCTCCCGGAGGCCTTCGGAGGTCCTCGGCCCCGCGGGCTTTCGGAAACTACTTGAGGCCTCTAAAGGCCTTCGGGGGCTTTCGGAAGCCCTGGGAGGCCACCGAGGGCCTGCGGGCCCTCTGCTGTGCATCACCCGCTGCTCGACCAGGCCCCTCCCCAAGCTCATTGAAAGAGCATCATTGGCACTAGATGTGCCCCTCAGCTGTGCACCACCCACTGCCAGACAAGGGAGGAGGGTGGGAGGGGAGGGGTGGAGGGTAGGAGAATGAGGGCAGGCGGGGATGGAGTGGAGTAGGGGACCGGGGGGAAAAGGTGCGTGCTAGGCGGCTGTCTCCGGCTGCTCGCGCGGCCGGCGCTGTGCTTACGGCACCCTCGTGCTGCTCGGTGGGGCCTGAGATGCTTCTGCCGATCCTCTCCTTTCAGCTCGGGCGCTCGCGGTTTTCGGCCGCAGTGCAGTCAGTGCGACTGGCCATCGGCGGGGTTGGAGCGCCCCGCAATTTCAGAGGAGGATGCCGAGGAGGAGTTGCGGAAGGTTTGTTTGAGGGGAGGGAGGGAGGGAGGGAGGGAGGGAGGGAGGGAGGAGGAGGAGGAGGAGGAGGAGAAGGACGAGATGGAGGAGGAGGAAAAGGGGAGGGATGGAGGAGGCGGCGAGTGGCGAGAGCTGGATGGTTCTGGAGGTAGCAGTGTGTAGCATGTGGTGTCCAGCGGCTTGGGTTGCGAAGTACCGCATGGGCAGCATCTTAGAGCCTGCCGCGCGCCTTGTTTATAGTTGGCCCCCCTCGCGCTTTGGCCGAACACGGTTGCCATGTTGGACACTGGCAGCGTAGCGGCGTGCCGGCCACGTGTCAATCATAGTAGACCAAGGGCGCAATCGAGGGGGGCCAGAGCTCTTGCTTCGCTGACTTCAGGGAGAGATAACGGTACTGGATTCACTGGGCGTTATATCTTCGATCATGCATGGTCACATCATTTATGTGAGTCAATGTGCCGCATTTGCGAGGTCGTATATTCGCAAGTGTTCCGCCGCCACGCACTGATTCCGCGAAACACCTGGTCGGTATGGTGTGAAGGATTGAAGCAAAGGATCTTCCCATGCTCTGGTATGGGATGCCAGTGCTGGTCAGAGGTTTGGTATTTTTCTTCCCAGAGGCGAGAGGGCAATCATGACAGAGGAGCTCAGTGACTGATCATCGGAACCCGTTTTGGGGTGTCACGGATATGACATGCGCCTCCGTGTCCCGCTCTATACTTACCCAATATGAATTCTACTTTCCTCTCACCCACAAGTATGTCCAGATAATATTATGTCCTCTCCGCGTATTGTTTGTCATTCAGGATTTCATGATTTGGTCTTTCCTGTGTGTTTTTCCTCTCGGGACGTCTTCGGCCGTTCCTAGGGGGCGGGCGCTCTCGCCTTGGCGCCCGCCGCATTCCTGCCCCCACTACACTTACTCAATATGAACACTACTCTCCTCTCACCCCCAAGTCTGTCCAGAGAATCTCCCGTCCTCTCCGCGTACGTTTTTTTGGTTTTCACAGGATTTCATCAGAGAGATGGGTGCCCCGGGATTATTTCCTCCCTGAGCGTGCGTTGGCAATTCCGAAGGGTTCGCCTCTGGGATGGACACTGGGGATGCACACTGGGGATGAACACTTGGGATGCACAGTTGGGATGGACACTGGGGCATTCCGCTGGCGCACCTCTCTCTCTTATCCGCAACTGTGGGGATTAAGTTATTTGGCCTATCCTGTGTGATTTTCCACTCGGGCCGTCTCGCCTCGGTTGACACGGCCTCGGCGGCGAGCCGAGAAGTGCAGGACGTGCCGCCGTGGCTAGTTCGCGGGCGCCGGCTGCTGGCGGCGCCCCGTCGTCGTCGTCGTCGTCGTCGTCGTCGTCGTCGTCGTCGCCGCCCTCGTGGTCGTCGCCGCCGTCGTCGTTTTCGTCGTCGTCGTGATCATCATCCTTTGTCAACCTCCTCGTCCTGCTCTTCCTCCTGCTTTTTGTGCGTTGGCACGCCTCTGCTGGCCCACGCTGGCAACTGGCACTGTCGCACACCTCACGTTCTTGCGTGCTCACTTGTCCGCCTTGCTGTTCCTATCGCAGCCCGGATGCCTCTAGAAAGGGCCTCGCCTTCGAAGGGACGATAAGTTGGCTCCTCGTCTTTAGCGGAAGCCCACGGGAGGTTTGCGGCAACCAGCAGAAGTAAACGGGTGGCGCGTCCATTGGCGGAAGCCGGCGGAAGTACAAGATGTGACCCCAAGAGGTGACAATGTTTTTTCTTCAATTATGGTTTGTTCACGGGGTTCTTCTTCAAGAGTCTTACGCCATTCCGCCGACCCTCAGAAGCGACAAGATATCGACGGAGGTCTTGACGATCAGGTCGGGGTTGCAAAACATGCGTTCGGCGTGGGTCCGAATGCCGTGGAGTTCGCATGCCGTGGTCGTCGCTTCCGTACACGGGACTGCCTGGGACATTGGCAACGACCGACACTTTTGCACATTTTGGTCCCTGCAGTTCACGAGGGCTTGCTGGAGTCGGGCTATTCTGTCCCTGTACGCCTTGTCCTTTTCCGCATCGTCCGCCATCACAGTCCGAAGAGGACGATCAGGTTGAGGAGGAGGACCGACGAATACGAGGAGGACGAGGAGGAGCAGGAGGATGAGGGATATGATGATAACGTTCACGGTGAGAGAGTGGACTAGTCAGCGGAGCCATCGTGTATTGGGCCAGAGTCGTTTGTATGTTCGTGCTTGGTTGTTTATTATAGGCGCACGTTTCTGAGCGATGCCAGCTCATGAGGGCTCTTCGCTGCTGTGGGGCCTTGTCGGATCATTCCTTGGGGACGTGGGATCGTCACGGGCTCGGCGCGAGCGTGCCAACAAAGTTGCGCTTCTTCGCCGCACGCCCCGAGAAACATTATCTTCGAAGCCCAAGGTTGCGGGTCAGAGGCATGTTGGATGAATGTGCGGGCATCTTGCGATGCTTCTCGGGGACATTTCGAGGGCCCTAGGGGGCCTCTTGTAGGGTTTTCTTCGGGGCCTCAAGAGGCCTCTTGAGAGCCTCTTTGGGGCCTCCTGGGGCCCCATGAGGGAGCCCCAGGAAGTCCTTTCTGGTTTCACATTCGGGCTGTCTTGGCGTGGGAGCCTCCAAATGTCCGTTCTGGTTCCCCCCTTGGGGCCCTCTCTTGGGGCCCTCTTGAGTGTGGGGGCTTATTGTGCCGTCTTGCTGCCCTCTGGGTCTCTTGGGGCGAATTCGGGGGCCTCTTGGCTCTTGGGCAGCCTTGGAGCGTTGGAAGCCGGAAGAGGCGAGAACACTAAAACCACTCCGAAGCCCACAGGAGGATTCATGATTTCGGTTTCTTGGGGTATTCTTGGAACTATCTTGGGGTGTCTTGAGGGAGGGGGACAGCCAATCCTGTCAGACGCCTTGCCACTCCCTGCAGGCGGGGGTCGGTAGATTTGTTGTCTTGTGAAAGCAGGTGTGTGCCACCCTCTAACTCAGAGGCGGGCTCCAGCCCTGCCCGATCCCCTGGTCTTGGTTTCTTTACTGCCTTGTCCGGGTTCCCCAGTCTTCTTACTTTTGCTTGGGTCCCTGCTCGGTTTCCCAGTCTTGAGCCTTGCCTTCCTGTCTTGGGTTGATCGGTCTGGTTCCTAGGGTTCCCTGGTCTTCGCAATTGCAAGCCGTGCCAAGCACTGCGAGGCAATGCCGAGGAATGCCAAACAATGCGAAGCACGCCAAGTAAGGCCAACCAGCGCCAAGCAAAGTGATACACTGCCAAGCAATGCCACGCAGCCAAGCCAAGCCAATGCCAAGCCAATGCCAAGCCAATGCCAAGCAACGCCAAGCAATGCCAAGCCTGCCAAGCATGCCAAGTGACGATACCCATCATGTCAAGTAACGGTTTCAATAATACCAAGTCATGGAAAGCCGTGCAAAGCACTACCAAGCAATGTCAGACAGTATGTTGCATTGCAGTGCTTTGCGTTGCTCAGAACTGGTTTGAGCTGCTGCTGAAGAAAGCAGACGCCTAATTGGGGCGCGCTGAGTTCATGGGTTCAGGGTTTCTGGAGCGCCCTATCTGACCTTAACCCGCCCCCCCTGGCCGCCTCGCAAGCCCGCGCCCGGTAGCTCTCAAGTTCGCCGACATCGTGGGCGATGCAGCAGAAGCTCCGCCGCCAGAACTCGGGCGAGACACCCAAGGTTCATCCGCAACGCAGGGGACGATGCAAGTGGGGTGGGGATTGCGACTATTGCGCCTGCTAGAGAACGCTTCAGATTGCTTCCATCGTGCACGTACCTTTCTCCAGTGTCTCCTGGCAGTCTTGCGCAGCCATCGCAAACATTTATTCGCAAATGTTGATGTCAGTCACTGGCTGGTCCTCCTTTTAGTTCTGAAATGCTGTTGCCGTTTGCAGATCAAACGTGTTCGACGATCTGGCATCTTACCGCGGCCAGGATGATGTCATAATTGCTGCATGGTGCGTCAGAGACTGTGTCCACCGAGCTAAGGCTCGTTGGGCAAGAGTTCGCTTGGTCTTGGTGCCTACTCGGAGGAGGTATGCGATGAGGAAGGGACGATTGCGTTGCCAGTGGTTTCGGGGCCAGGAGTGCTGGTGATGACGGTGGCGATAGCAGTAACGGTGTGCACGGGAGGAGGAGGAGGAGGAGGAGGAGGAGGAGGAGGATGAGGAGGAGGAGGAGGAGGAGGAGGAGGAGACACGACGTCCGTAGCCATTTTGGCTCAAGTTAAAACCGCGGTGCCGTGGCGGCTTTAGCTTGGACGCAGGCGAGGGGCTGGCTCGAGTCCCGCAGCCTTCACCCCACGATCCTCACAGGAGCCGCCTGGCGCTGTAAGAACTTGTTGGCATCTGACTGTGTGGCATGGCCCATGCCATGCCGAGCAGCCCCGAGGCTCGACGGCTGGCAGAGGAACTCGACGCCATGGCCACGTTCCCGTCCCAGGAGGCTGGAGCGACAGGTGGCAGTGCGAGCCCCCCGAGCAAGACTGCCCGTCTTGCCGAGGATCCTCTTGAAGCTGTTGCTAATCTGCGCGCTGTGGTTGATTCCACCCGTGGAGAGATGCTCGGAGCCGTCGCCAAGCTGCACGCCAGTGTCACGCAGTTCAGCTCCACCATCTCGGCCAACTGCGACGCCATCACCAAGAGGGTGGAGATGCGCTACGCGGAGCTGCAGGCCGAGCAGAAGAGCACCAACCACCGTGTCGCGACCCTGGAGCGACGAGTCTCCCAGCTACAGGAACTATTGCAGTGCATCAAGAACGAAGAGCCGCAGACCGTGGTCACCGACACGTCCTTCAACAGGATGGTTGACCCATGCATCATCGTCGCCAGGACGAAGAATGTTTGCAGTCGTAGTGCAGTTCAAGGAGCTCTGGCTGACTGGTTGGCCCGTGCCCAGCTTGCACCAGATGACTATGACTACCAGTCGGAGCCTGCTGGGAAGCGGTTCGTCTTCCGCATCAAGGGGAACGCCACCTATGCCGCCAGGAAGGTGGCCCAGGCGATGGGAGCACTACGACTCGGAAATGGACAGTGGGAACATCACGCGTGCAAAGACATGCTTGGTGCGAATTGTGAGATATACGTCAGCACGGACAAGAACCCCGCCATGGTCAAGAAGGAACTCGGCCTCAAGCAGTTGCGGAAGGCCTTCCAAGAGGTCGATGGCAACCTGCGCCTTTTCACCGACAAGGCGAAAGGCGAGCTGTCGGCGAACTGGAAGCCTCTGGTACGTTTCACGCCCAAACCAGGAGACGAGGAGCCCGTCCTGGAATGGTGTGTGCCCAACATGCTCGCCTTGGGGCTGGACAAAGATCTTGTGCTCCAGCGCTTCCATGCATCAGGACACGTCGCAGCACCCCCTCAGTGGTCTCTTTAGCGGGCTCCAGCGCCATTGGCGCGACGAGAGAGGCATGATCTTGCCTTTGATACTATCTTCCTGGAATGCCCGAGCCCTCTTCCATCACGAACTCCCCCTCCAAGAAAGGAAAGCCCATCTCCTCCGACAACTCTTTCTTCCAGGCAGTATCATAGGGGTGCAAGAATGCCACGGTAGTGAGTTACAAGTCCAAGACCTTCTTTATCAGTACAATCTGCATCATAGATATACCGCATTTAGCTCGTTCTGTTCAAGTTCCCATGCCGGAGGTGTTACGACCTTTGTGCCGAAATTCCTGCACCTTGGTTCCGAGGCCCCTCTGATTCTTCCAGAAGTTCAGGTCCCAGGTCGAGTTCTCAGAGTTGCGATTGATTTTGGGGATTTTGCCGTCGTCCACTACAATGTTCACAACTACCAGCTAGGATCCATAGCTAAGAAGAAGGCCTTGGATTCAATTAAGTACGACCTCGAGGTCGCAGAGGCGGACCCTTCTGCGTTGCTTGTCGCCATATCAGGTGATTTCAACTTTGCATGCATGCCGCCACGCAAGGAACCTGAGGCGGAAGTAGATGAGCAGACGCTTCGGTATCTTCAGGAGTGGAGGAGTACGCAGGACAGTGGGTGGATGGAGGTGTTGAGGAGGATGGTGGAATTAGAAGTGCCAGAACCTACCCATCATTACCAGCCGACGCGGATGCTCAGCTACATAGATCGGCAGTTTATTTCGATGCTTGGGTGGATGCTCCTGCAGATGTCCGTCGAAGGGAAGGTAGTTGAATACCCTGATATTCTCAGCAAGAAAGGGATATCCGACCACGCCCCGATCCAGGTCACCCTCAAACCTGCTGGATCTATCCCGGCCTCTGAGAGGCCAGTCGCCCCCGAAGTCTGCGAACATCCTGACTACGTTCGGTTCCTGGAAGCGGTAGAGGCTGAGTGTGACCAGAGCAGGATGACACCACCCTTGAGGCTAGCGTTTCAGACTGAGATGATGCGTGAGGCCGCCAAGATCGCTCGGGACTCCTTGATTCGAAAATCACCATCATCGAGTTTTACCCAGCTCCTGGTCATCAAAAGTATCGGGCGATGCCTCTGGAGGCAGGATGTGCGTCTTGCACACCGTGTTTGGCGATCTCACGCTCTAGGTAAGGAGTTTCTACAGATCAACCTGCTGGAGGGGACAGTGGAGTTGATTGACCCGCCAGAGTTCCAGAGGCGAGCCAATGAGATTCACCTCACTATTGCCAAACAACGAGAAGCAAAATACAAACAAGACATTGCGAATGCCAGTGCAGAGCCCGCCAGAGCGAAAGCCAGGCGACGACTTAAGTGCACGCATCGCAGGAGCCGCCTCTGGACGCCTTTTGATCGCAGAATGACCCTGCAAGGAGTACGAGCCTCCGATGGGGAGTCGGTTGTCTCGTCGCCAGCTGCTGTCCTCCAAGAGCTTGGGGAACATTGGCGACCCGTGTTTGCAGAAAAGTCCATCAATGCTCCAGCTGCCCAATCTTATCTTCGTCAGCATTGTGATGGTATTGATCTTTCTGACCTTCCCCCTCCATCCTTGCATGCTCTTCAACGGCGTATCGAACGTGCGGAAGATAGTTCCCCAGGGTTGGATGGCCTCCCCTATCGAGCATGGAAACGACATCCACACGGTCTTAACATTCTAGATGAGGTGGTTTGGTGGTTATTAAGTGGGAGGAGCATGTTACCAGCATTCAATGATGTTCGAGGAGTATTCATAGCCAAAGGAGATGAGGAGCAGGATTCCCATATGATCGTTCGAAACGCTGAAGCTACCCGGCCTCTAGGACTAAAACAATCGTCGAACAAGCTGGTCACGGGCGTCGTTTTCGAGAGTTTATCACGTCGACTGGGTGATAAAGTCCACTATTCTCAAAGGGGATTCGTCGGAGGGAGGAATTTTGGTCTAAATATTCTCGAGCTCGACGTGCGAGCCCGAATGGTTTCGATGCTCCCCGACGCCGCTGCTCGGCTTCCAGCCTTGATATCTTTCGATTATGGACAGGCCTTCCCGTCGGTCGCGCACCGATGGATCACGATGACGCTTGCTGCCTTCCATGTGCCGCTGCCCATGCAGATCTTCGTAGAGACGTTGTATACGAACGTTCGCTGCTTTGGCACTTTCGGCAGAGTATGCTGTTTCCTGTTTTACATCATGTCGGGGATCATTCAAGGATGCCCAGGGTCTGGCGCCCTTTTCGCCGTCGGGAGCCACCCCTTTCTCGTGGATATGTGGAAGCGGCTGGAAGCTCAGAATGATGTGCCACCTGGCGAGCTGCGAGAAGATCTCTCAGGTCGAGCTCGAGAACGCCAGATGAGTATGGCCAGGGCTTGTGCTGATGATATTGGATCTGTGGTTTCAGCGCTTCGTGATCTACTTCAACTGAAGGCCGTATTCGACTGCAGTGAGGCCCTCGCGTGTCTCAAGCTCAAGTATGCCAAGTGTTTCCTGGTTCCTCTTGCGGGCCCCTTCTCGGCCACCCTCGTCGCCAAGTATCGATTCTGGCTTCAGAACTTTCTCCCCGACTGGGGAGCGTTCCAGGTTGTGAGTTCCCTGACCTATCTTGGCATGATTCTTGGGCCCAGTGTGACCACTGAGAGCTGGCACAAGCCTCTTTTGAAATGGGCAGGACGTACAGTGCAGATTGCCAAAGTCGGCGCGCCGCCGGCCATCACAGAGTATATGTACTCTAGCCGTGCCGTATCAACCCTTACCTATGTCGCCCAATTCTGTCCCATCCCTGAGCTTTGCCCTGCCCTTCCTGCCCCTCTCTCTCGTGTTGAGCATGCCTCCTTCGCCTCTCTCTTCAAAGTCCCTCATTGCACGCTTCCTCGGAGTGGCTGGTTCTCGCTTCACCTGTGGGGAGGACCGCAACTCACGAGCGTGAGGTCCTTGAGTTGTGCCACTCTTATGAGAGCAGCTGTCAACACGTTCCCTGAATATCGAATGCTCTTGGAACAGCTGTCTGAGTTTGCTTCTCGCCATCTTGAGATCGTTGATCTCTCGGCAGGGAAACTATCCCCGCGCTTCTGGCAGTCACCAGCGTTTGTGGAGCATCTCTCGGATGCGGCAGGTGGCTTCTCTCGCTCTCGGGACCTGGCTCGAGCTGGATCGATCGCCCGTGAGGCTGCGCTGGAGCTCCTGACCTCTGCCTCCGCCCTCTCTCGCCCCCCTAAGAATGTGAAGATGCAAGGTAGACTGCTGAAGATTTTCCAACGGGAACTCTTCCCAGATTCCCTGGACGTTGTTTTCTCGGAGCGTTGGGCCCGTTGGTTCCCTGAGGCCGCGGAGGTCCTGGTGCACGTGAAATGGGAAGAGGTCCGCGAGCTTCTCATTCGAATGAGAGGCCCTTTAGTGAATGCGATATGGAAGACTCTCTCTGGTAGTTGGATCACAGCCGTGCGGTTTCACGACAGTGTGCCCTTGTGCTGTCTGCTGGGCTGCGGCGGCCCTGACAGCTTCGTCCACTATTGGTGCTGCCCACGCTTCATCCAGCTTCTCGAATCTGTTTTGTGCTCCCAAGTTCATTACTGTCCGATCTGTCGCTCTGGTGTTTTTCTCCCGACCATCTCTAGTCTTACCGTCCCCGCTGCTGCCTATCTCCTGTTCGTGAATCTCCGCTCGCTCTTCCTGCCACCTGAACCTCTTTCTTTAGAGGTGGCACAGTCTGCTGTACCCCTCACGAGGGTCCAGCTCACGCGGGCGAGGGTGCGCGGCGGCCAGCGCGGATGAGGGACATGTGGCGCGCAGCTACGTGCGAGGAGGAGGAGACACGAGGGACGGCGCGCGGGCCCGGCGCCGACCGCGCTGCCCGCCTGGCGGCGGGGGCGTGAACGGGCAGCGGCGGCTGCCGCTTTGGCGCACGCCGCCGCAAGGCACGGCCCTCAGACCTCCTCCCGCAGGCGCGGGGCGACGCCGTGGAGGCTCCCTGGCTCTGAGGGCGCAGTCTGCTCGGGCGCAGAGGGGGGCGCCAGCGAGGGCTCGAGGGGCCGTGGGAGGGAGCTCCTAGTCGATGCGGCCTGTGCGCGGCCGCACGCGCGTTCGTGTCCGATGTGCCCCGCTTCGGCAGATGCGCTTGATCAGGAGAGCGCGTCGGACTGAGGAGGTGGGCCCGAACGAGGGACTCGGGGAGCATGAGTGCCAGCCTCAAGAGGTCGCCTGCCAAGAGATCATGGTTGCTCGCCTCCGTGCTTTCCTGCTTGAGGCGCGTAGCCGTGCGGGTCTCCAGCCGTTTTCTGCAGGCGGACTTCGACATCTCCGGGACTGCGAGCGCTCTCGAAACGGGAACACTGCAGTGCATTTTGGGCACAGTGCATTGCTTGGGCTCGCAGGCGCTGACGGGGCGCGTCCTGCCGAGGAATCAGAGGACACGGGCAAAGTCAAAGTCAGAGTGATTATTGTGATCCGCTCCACTGAAGCGACGAGCGGACAGGATTGTGTACCGCTGTATCGGTTCCAGCCGTCTTGCGGGACATCAGTAATATTTCCTCTTTGCGGGAGCCCAGCAACATTCCAAATCTTTCTCGTCGGTACCCCGATGAGTCCCCAGTTGCACAGGCCGTGACTCGATATCCACACATTGGCGGCGCGCTCAGGGGGAACTGAGAAGAAGTAGGCCTTCTTAGAAGGCGGCGGCGCTTCTCAGAAGCCCTCCGGCCTTCTGAGAGGTTCTCTGCGTCTTCGGGGAAGGCTTAGAAAACTTCTCAGAAGTCCCGAGGCCTTCCGAGTTCTCGCAGCCAGCACAGGCTGCGCCCAGGCCCCCGACGTCAAAGTTTGCTCAGGATGTCGACCCCGAGAGGTCGCACCCATTCCCCCGCGACTGGCTTTTCATCCCGAGTCGTTTTTGACGGTCCCGACCCGGAGAGGACCCCAGAGGCAGAAAACAACGATTACGCTACCAAGGAACCCCACATACTTATTTTATGTCACGTGTGTTCACAAAACATGTCACATCTCGCTTCGCCATCCTGACGAGGGACTGACCAGACCAGCCAGATCAGCCAGACCAGCCAGACTGACCAGACCAGCCAGATCATTCGTTCCAGCCAGAGCCAGCCAAAGTAATCAGACCTTCCAGCCAGGCCAATCAAGCAGACCAGCTAGACCAACCATATTAGTCATGCCAACAACCGCAGCCAGAATCAGCCGGACTAACCACACGAGCCAACCAGGCCAACCAAACACACCAATTAGACCAGACCAACAAGAACAGACCAACCAGACCACGCCCATGATGATGATCCGCCGCCGTCATCTAAAAGAGCCTCCTGGGGGAACCCGCCCGACGTAGGGTCCATCAAGAACGTCACCAGGCACTGCCTCCTGCCATCGTCGTTCGTTCCTGGATGCGGCAAGTCACTATACCTCTTGTGAAGCGTGTCCGGCCACCAATTTCGAAGCTGGCGGCCGTAAGCTTCAAACGCGGATTTGATGAACCTGTCCTTGCCATGCTTTTTGATGTACTCTTGCATTCCTGCCAGACTAAAGTCGACGCTCATCTCGACCATCCGGTTCAAGAGAATGGTGCACGGAGGTGGCAATTCGGCCACTGCACATTTTGGGGGCATGCCTGCGGGCGCCTGCTGTCTTTGAGCCTGCTTGAGCCGAGGTGTCTACAGTTAACCTTGCTGAGAATACTTCTGCCGCATACACGCCTGAGGCACCGGTGCATATTGCCCAAGATGTAGACTCCAGAAAATGTCAAGGCTGCTACGCTACCTACGTACCCTCTCTGCTGTCAAGCTCCCTGTGGCGTCGAGGAAATGCCACGCCTGCCACGCCCTGGGAGCCTGCAGCGCACAGGGCCCCCACCCCCAGCGCACCCCCTGTGGCGTCGAGGAAATGCCACGCCTGCCACGCCCTGGGAGCTTGCAACGCACCCCTCCGGTGTCGAGAAAGTGCCACGCCTGCCAGGCCCTGCGACATTGGCGCGTATAGAGACCGCGGTGGGCCCCCACCCCCAGCGCACCCCCTGTGGCGTCGAGGAAGTGCCACGCCTGCTAGGCCCTGCGACATTGGCGCGTATAGAGACCGCGGTGGGCCCCCACCCCCAGCGCACCCCCTTGTGGCGTCGAGAAAATGCCACGCCTGCTAGGCCCTGCGACATTGGCGCGCGGCCTGCTACGCTCTGCCGTGCCGTGCCCGGCGCGCCAGCCCTGTGTGCTATGCTGTGCTGTGCTGTGCTGTGCTGCTGTGCGGTAAGCTGTGCTGTGCTGTGCCGTGCTGCGGTGAGCTGTGCTGTGCTGTGCTGAGCTGAGCTGAGCTGAGCTGTGGTCAGCTGTGCCGTGCTGAGCTGAGCTGAGCTGAGCTGAGCTGTGCTGAGCAGTGCTGTGAGGAGAAGGAGGGGGAAGAGTGAGGTGAGTGTCGCGGGTGTGTCGCGGGTGCGTCGCGGCAGGGAAGAAAATCAGAACCCCACGAAGCATGTGGGGAATCAAATTCGTCCGTCCTTTTTTTTTCCCCCCGTGTGGCTTGCCTAAGGGGTTCTTACTTTGTCAAGGGTTGGTGCCTCCTATTGTTTCTTTGCCCGTTGCTCGCAGGTTCATGGGGTTCCTCGGGTTCCTTTTCCTCGGGTTCCTCGGGTTCCCCGCCCCCGGTGCCTTCTATTGTTCGTTGCCCGTTTCCCGGACGGATTCTCCGGGCTCTTCGGGTTCCCCGGGTTCACCGGGTTCCCCGGGTTCTTCGGGTTCCCCGGGTTCCTCGGGTTCCCCGGTTACCCAGGTTCCCCGGGTTCCCCGCCCCTTATTCTTATTGTGCTCGTTCCAAATAATGCCAAGTAATACAATGCCAAGCAATGCCAAGCACTGCGCCCATGCACTAGGAAGCTTTCCCCTAATTGGGGTCGCGCCTTGTTCATTGCATGACTCGAGGGGGTCTGGGGAGGGAGCTCTTTGTCGATACCCAAAGTAGTCGATTGGCATCGGGACCATCTCGTCAAGCGAAGCTCGGACCCTGGCGAGCGTGAGCGGCTCCAGGGAGGCCCTGCTGCCCGAGGGGCCGAAGTGGTTGACCTCTTCCCCTCGGACAGGTGCGGTTCGACTACGGTCAGTCACCCCTCTGTCTCACGCTGCGGCGCAGCCATGTTGTCGTGATTTGCAGTGCTCGAGGATGGAGTTCATAATAGCTGTTGCGCTATGGTTGAAAATATGAGGCTGTCGGAGGCCCGCAGAAGCCTGCGGGAGCAAAGCCAGACCCCCGAGTAATGAAACAAACACGACGGACACTTTCACTGTGTTCGGCCTCTGGTAGCCCTCGCTGGGCCTTCGGACTGTCCAAAAAAGACTCAGGATGAAGAACCGGTCCCAAGGAGTGGGTCGAGACATCTGGGGGTCGACACCATGGACAAATCATGATGTCGGGGGGTTGCGAAGCGGGAGTAAAGCCGAGCGGAAATCGAAGCAGACCTTCCTGCAGCCGTGGCTCACATGCCCCACGAACGGGCAGGGTCCATACAAACGGTCAAACAAGCAACCACATGGACCCTCCAGATGGCCACACGAAAAGATCGAAGTTGTCCCAAGCCAGTCGGTTCGGAACGCTGTTTGCCTGTGTAGGGGCTGTTCAGTTGCTCCACTCGGCCCATGCTCCTGCGTGGGGCAAGTCGATCACCGAGCGGGAGCGGCAATCGGGAAGGTCCTCGTGGGGCTTCTCTGGCCAGCCGCGCGAATGGGCCAGGCAAGGCACGGACACCAAGCAGCCTGAGGCTGCGTCGGGCCTGGCCAGGCCTGGTTGCCGCAGCGAGGCGCTGCTGCTTTGGGTGATTTTCGCTTCTGCTCCTCCTCGCTGCTCATCGATGCCCCCACCCCGATTTCCCAGGGCGCTTCTGTGACGTCGGCCTGTGATCACAGCGCTGTAAATGTCCAGCACGCTTCGGCGACAGAGTCCTCCGCGACGAGTGCTGATGGGGCATTTGCGTGGAAAGAGTTGCGTGGCCATCTAGATGAGCCTGGCGAGCTGTTGCACCACCTCGTGGGCTCGCGGAACGGCACCGTCTCTGTGGCGTCCGCTCGCCGCCTCCCCTCGCTCCAGAATTGCACTGTCGATCTGCCACAGCGCCCGAAGGGGAGTCCGCGAAATTGTCTGCGAGGGCCCAGGCCCGGCCGTCGGCGTCGCGAGGTGCAGGACGGGTTCGCGCCCGAGAGCCCCGTTAGCGACGCAGAGATCAGGCCGGCTGGCCGCCGCTGCCGCTGCAACAAAGCCGGCTCGACCCCAGGCAACAGGGATATTTTCTCGGATATCGATCCCCAGAGGTCAGCATGAGTTCAGAAGACCCCACGAGTGGAAGTCCACCAACATCTGTTCCGACAACGCCTTGCTCAGCCAGTGCAGTGTGGCCCATCAGAGGTCTACAAACGTGGAGTTCAGGGTTCGTCCGAGTCGCGGTCCTTGCGCTGTGTGAGTAGTTATCCTACGTGGCCCCTCGTGGTCTTTTGAGCTCCATGTTTCGATTTCGTGACTCCAGTCGCGATGCCCTCTGGTCCTAGTATGGCCTCCGGATGTTAAGCATCAGCACTTGGTAGGTTATGTGGGATGATAAATGATGTTCAAGGGCGGACGCAGGGGCTCCTGGCCCGTGGCCTCCTCCGGGTCCCCTCCTGGTTCCTTCGTGTGTGTAAGAGAAAGAGAGAGAGAGAGAGAGGGAGAGTTAAGTCTGCTTGTCCGCGCGCCTCCCTTGACCATCGCTTGACTTCGCCGCACTGCTGCACGCGCGGCCGCGACGGAAAAGTGTGTGTGTGTGTGCGTATGCGTATGCGTTTGCGTGTGTTTGTGCGTGAGCAGAATCGCGTGCCCGCCGCGGGCTACTGTCCGCCGATACGCCGGGCGCTCGACTGCCGAGAACAAGCGCGTGTGAGCGAGCGTGGGGTGGGGCGTGCGATTCGATGGCCTGGGCCCCCTCGTGGCTCTGGGGCTCAAGAGTTGGTCGTGCGGCTTGCATGGTCTGTGGCTCTCTCGTGTGCCCCCCCCCATCTCTGGTGCCTCGTGCCCCTCTCGTGTGCGGGGGTTGGGTGCAGGGGTCGACTCGCGTGCACGTGTCCCTCCTGTGAGCCTCCTGCGCGGGGCGGGGCCCGAGAGTCGACTCTGCGGCACATGGCCCGTAGCTCCTCGGTGGCTCCCTGTGGGAGGCGGAGATGCTCCGAGGCCTCTCTGGGCCGTCGAGGCTTCTCTGGGCTTCTCTCCTGCCCTGCTGCCCTGCTTCGCGTCCCCCAGCTCCCCCTCCCTCCCTCGCAGTCCTCCAGGGGACACCAGTACGACCCGTGGGCCCAGAAGCCAGGCCGGGCTTCTTTGTCGGGTCGCGCTGGCCGCTCGGGACAACAGCAGCAGCGGCCACTGGTTGGAGATGGGGCGGTGCTTCGAAACAGGAGTTCTGAGGCCCCATGTGGCCTCCTGTGGCTAGTGGGTGATCTTCGCAGGATCGGAGCTTTGGCTTGCACTCCCCCCCCTCGCAGTGGCGACCATGCCCAGGCTAGTCACAAGCCTACCGCTTGTAATCTCTCGGTATGCATCTAAACATGCTTACCTTGTGCCTGTCGGCATTCGCACACGATTCGGGCAGTTTTGCCGTTGCTTCCCCTCCCGGCCTGCTGCCACTCATTCCCTTGCCGTCGTCCCACGTGCTATTTTGCCTTTCGTTCCGCATGAGGCGCAGGGTCAAGTCCATCCTGAATAAGCTGACCCCGGAGAAGTTTGACAAGCTCCTAGTCCAGATGGCTCAGTGCCGCCTCCTCCTTTGCAGCGGGGACGGTATGGGACAGATCGAGCATTGTTTGTAGAGGGGGATGCTGGGCGCGAGTGTGATGGAAAGGAAGAGGAGGAGGAGGAGGAGGAGGAGGAGGAGGAGGAGGGGGAGGAGAAGGGCCACCTCATGGCCGCTGGATATCGAGTGAATGCGCAGCCTAGCGCGCCTGATCAGATGCTGAACCTAGCCATCGACATTACCAAAACAGCGTTGGCGCAGGGGGGGGGTTTTACGAACTAGCTGGCGGCTCTATGTTGTTGCCCTGTCGCCGCCCGTGGCCGCCTCGTGCGCTGGGTGGCAGTGATCTCTTTTCGCTCGGTCGCCGCCCTTCGCCGCTCCGTCGCCGCCTCGTGCGCCACCACACAGCCTGCACCACATTGCAGCACGGCTTGCACCACACTTGTGGCCAACACATAGCTTGCACCACGTACATCGCACTATATTGCTGCCACCCCACAGTTTGCATTACATTGCTTCCACCGCATAGCTTGCACTACATTGCTTCCACCACCTAGCTTGCACCACATGGTTGTCGCCACATAGAATGTACCTCACAGCTTGCACCACATAGCTTCCATCACATAGCTGACATCACATAGCTTGCACCTCCTTTCCTTATACCACGTAGCTCGCATATTCACAGTGCACATACTCATGCTTTGAAGTCCGCGATGGCAGAAATTAGATATCTCATGCCAAAATTGAGTGGCAGAGACTGTTGCGCGGCCAGCGCTAGGGACGAGATGGGACCCTCGGCTGCGCGGAGAGAAGAGGAACCAACACCAAGGTCGTCTACGGCGACCTTCTCCAATCCCTTCCCGGTAGACACCGACAACAATCTATTTGCCTGTCTCAATGAATGGTTATTGTAATTCTGAAAATTCACAGGTGTCCATCGCGATTATGATGCGATTACGCTTGTTCTTGGGTCGTAGCCCACACTTTTGCAGCTGCCGGGAAGCAGGTGGTAAGTGGAAAGCCTTCTCATGTGGACTGGGCTCTGTATCATGTTGGTTCGAGTGCCGAGGAGTGCCTGACAGACAGCTCAGCCAAGAAATTTGGCAACAAGTCAAAACGTGTGTTCACGAAATCCCAACAGCCCTGGCGCAAGGAAGACCGCACTACAGCTCCACGTCCAAAAAATGGCCCGTCCCCAGGCCCTGGCAAGTGACCTGGGGGCACTGCAACGACGAAGAACAATGGCACCAAGGGCGACAAGGGCGGCAAGGGCAAGTCGAAATGAAAAGCCAAAGACAAAGACAAAGGCAAGGGCAAACACGACCATAATGGCAGAGGTACAGACGAGAGCCTACAACGAGACTCTGGTACGCCCTCGCGGCGGCAAGAAAGGCGGCGGCAAAGGAGGGAAACCTGGAGGAGGAAAAGGGAAGAAAGGAAGTCAGCGGAATGGCAAGTAAACAATTTGTTTATGAAGCTCGTCGAGAGCATGCCGCATGGCGATCTGGAGTGGCTCCTGGACGACGGGCATCGGGACCAACTCCATATTTTCGATGCGGCGGCAGCTTCCTGCAGGCATCCTGGCTTCGGCGAAGTTGCTTGGCCTGTTACCTTCCTCCGCTCCCGATTCCACCGCAAGCACAGGTTTTCACCGATAAGTTCACCTAAATTGGCAGACGCATCTAGGATGATTGAACATATTCCTCAAAAGATGTTGTGGAGATGGCATTTTCGATCGAACGGGGGCATTTCGTCTTGTTCGTTCCGAGCTTGGCCAACCACTGCTAGTGCCAAAGTTTTCCCTCACCCTGTACTGCCTGAATTATATGCAATGTTACATGCAACGACATGCCAGATCTTCAGGCGCTTCTTCAGGTTCACCCTCAACGGCGCCAGGGGCAGACCAAGATTTTCCAACGTGTACGGAGTCATTCGATTAGCATGTCGGCAGCTTCGTGATCTCCCGTGGGTTCCTGTCCTCACAGATAATGATGGGGGCTTCGCGTGGGTTGCCAAAGACGTCCTGATCCACTCTCATTTCAATATTTGGGCTGCCCCTCATTATGAAGAAGTTACACCTCTTAGCAGAATTTGGAAACACGCTGTTGACGAGTATGTCGCGATTGTCAAGAAGACCTGCACCATTGATGACCAGGTAATGGTAGATCTTTAGTGTAGCCGAGCTGTATTGTTATCCCGGGGGGACCCTCGAGACACACACACACACCAGAGACACATTATCAAGGCTCCGAAGTTTGCCAGACGTGGGAGGTTCGATTACGAACCCATATTTAAGAATACGTCCCTAGGCGCTCCATTTGCAACCACGTCGGAGCATCCGAGGAGTGTGCACTGTGCGTGGCCCTTCGCTGAGTTAGCTTGTTTGCACAAGCGTTCGTCCAGCTAGTCTCTCAGCCTGGAAGCGCGCTTTGTGCTCGCCTCCCGCCTCGAACGGTACATTCGTCCAAAATCTTTCATCCAACTGCAAGGCGCGGGCCCCGCGCCCCCTCCCGTGAGCACCACGCGGTGGCCCCAAATATCCCAAAGGGAAGCAGCCTGTGGGTGAGGCGCCCCTTTGATCGGATGTGGGCAAGGACGGGTGTCGCAGGTCTTCTCAATAATTGTAGGTTGTTCGACATATCTCGTGGCGTGCGCTGCCGATTTCTAAGACGGGTACCCGAAATCCGGCCAGCTTGGGTAATGCATAGAGCACTTTTTTTCACAATTTGTTTTGAGACTCGCTTTATAGTGCGAGCATTTGTCTCACCCTGGTTGGTTGGTTGGGGCGGTGGACGGCTGTACCTATTTATCTCCACAGAGGATGCAGTAGACCATTCTTGTGGCCCCAGTGGCGCTGACAGCGCCTTAGGCCCAGAAAGCCAGCACTGCTGCTTTCCAGTAGTTCTGGAGAGGCTGGTCCCCGTGGAAGAACTAGTTTCGATTCGCCGCCCGTGGCCGCATTGTGCGCTGGCTGTCGGTCCTGCGTTTGTGACGCGGTCGCAGCCCGTGGCCGCCCCGTCGCCGCCTCGTGCGTTGGGTGGCAGTGGTCTCTTTTCGCTCGGTGGCCGCCCGTCGCCGCCCCGTCGCGGCCTCGCGCGCCACCACACAGCCTGCACCACATTGCAGCACGGCTTGCGCCACAGTGTGGCCACCGCATAGATTCCAGCACATAGTTTGCACCACATTCATCGCACCGCATTGTTTCCACCACACAGTTTCGATTACATTGCGAATGTACCGCATAGATCCTCGCTTCTAAAAGGAGAATGGACTCTACCCCCCCCCCGGACTTATCCGTTCCCCCTTCGGGTATGTAAATCATATATGATTATGACCACTCGTCCATCCTAAATATGAAATCGTATCATCCCAGCCAGGCCGGGTTCCCCCCCTGAGGTTCCCTTGTAAAAAACACTATGCGGTGACATTTGTTGCTCTAACATAGCACTTTTTTCACGAATCCCTGGCAACAGATGGGACGAAGTGCACACGCGCGCGTCGTCGCGCGCGCATGCCGAAATCCTTCAAAAACCCTCGGTGCCGGGAGGATTTCGCAATCGAGTTTCCAAACAACATACAAAAACACAGGGTTTCGCAACACTGATTTGCTAAAAAAGCTTCCGCGCGAGCTCTTGCGAAATCTTAAGAAAACCATAGGTTTTTCAAGAGTGTAACAAAATGCTACCAGACGGGCTTCGCGCGCGCGCATGTCGAAATCTGTCGAACGCCCTTGCGCGTGTGCCGTCGCGAGAATCCTCTGCAAAAAATGGGACGAAGTGCAGACGCGCGCGTCGTCGCGGGCGTATGCCGAAAACCTTCAAAACCCATCGGTTCCGGAAGGATTTCAAAATCGTGCGTCCCAAAAACCTACAAAAACCTAAGGTTTCGCAACACGGATGTTCAACAAAAGCGTGTGCGCGCGCGCTCTTGCGTCGTCGTCGTCGTCGTCGTCGTCGTCGCCGTCCTCCCTCCTCCCGTGTCGTCGTCGTCGTCGCCTACGTCGTCCTCTGTCTTTTCTCGTGTTTGTCGTCGTCGTCCTCTTTGGCGTCGTGGTCGTTTCCGTCGTCGTTGTCGCCGTGGTCGTCCGTCCTCCTCCTCCCACGTCGTCGTCGTCGTCCGTCGTCGGCGTCTCGTCGTCGGTTCTATTTCGTCACCGTCGTCGTCGTCGTTGTCGTCGTCGTCTTCCCTCCTCCCTCGTCGTTGTCGTCGTCGGCGTCGCCGTCCTTCCTCCTTCGTCGTCGTTCGCGTCGTCGCCGTCCTCCCTCCTCCCTCGTCGTTGTCGTCGTTGTCGTCGTTGTCGCCGTCGTCGTCCTTCCTCCTCCCTCGTCGTCGCCTTCGTTGGCGTCGTCGTCGTCGTCTTCGTCGTCGTCGGCGTCGTTGTCGTCGTCGAAGTAGTCTGAGACGGTCTTAAGAGGTTTTGCAAACCAAGTTGCGGGTGGGAGGGTGGGATTTTTGCGCGAGCAGTGGAGAGGACAGCTTCAAGTTGAGTAAGTGGTTGCTTGCATCACATAGCTTCCCTTCTACCACGTAGCTCGCACATACACAGTGCACATACTCATGATTCGAAGTCCGCGATACCACATACTAGATATTTCATATCCAAATTGAGTGGCAAAGACTGTTGCTCGGCCAGCGCTGGGGACGAAATGGGACCCTCGGCTGCGCGGAGAGAAGAGGAACCAACACCAAGGTCGTCTACGGCGATCTTCTCAAACCCCTTTCCCGATAGACACCGGCAACAATTTACTGCCTAATTCATTCAACTGTTATTGTAGTTCTGAAAGTGCAAGGGTCCGTCGCGATTATGATGTGAGTACGTTTGTTCTTGGGTCGTATCCCATTGTTTTATTCCCAACCATCCTGTGGTGTTGGGTCCTCGTTTTGAAGAGACGGTCCCCGCGTTCCTTTCCTCGTCTCCTCCTCCTCCCCCCTCCTCCTCTCCACCGCCCGCATGCGTCCCCCACACCCATGTCGGCACATCCCTCACACGCTTCGTGGCCCCATAGGGAGCTCCACCG